TCGGGTATTTCGAAATGGCCGTCAGCTCTGGCACTAGTGCGCAAGGATGTCGTTTGTTTACTTCTGTTCAAAATTCGCGTTATCGTCGACCCGGAGGGCAAATATAGTTGGGTTGCTTCGTCGTCATCGTGCACCAATTGCAATCTAGCTGCGATGATCTGGCTCTTTACTGGATTTAGTTGATTCCTAACTGTCTCCTTCTTTTGCTGAACTACTTGCGGAGCGTCCTGCGTTGAGCTCGTGACTATGCTCGTTGCTGGTCGAGATTGTGTCGCTCCCAGAAGTTATTAAAGTCTTCGGGCAATTATATGATCTCAATTTGCTGCAGCGCCAGTTTATTGTTGTCTTCGTATCGCGTTTCTTTTGAAATTCATGGCCGTCAAGAATAATCAGTGTTTGGCTTTTTTGTGAGGTTCTCAAGTGAAAGAGTTCATTTTTGACTATTCATTGAGCTAATTCAATGCCATATTAACACTAAATTAAACTATGTTAATCCCAAAAATGAGTCCAGTTTAAATTTAGTTACCTTAAATTCGCGTTGTTCTTTAATAGCGCGAACCTAATTGAGATATCATTACTCTAGAATTATTTCTGCTTACACTTTGATCATGGTTTTTGTTCATAACTCATGAGATCTTTGTAATTGGCATGGGATCTTATGTTATGGGCGAGTTTTGTACAAGTGATCTTTTGGTACGGTATCTTTTGTCATGGGAGATTTTGGTATGGTATCTTTTGTCCTTACACCCTTGAAAGATGAACCTTTTGAATCAACCAATATATTATGCCGAATATTACAATCTGACGGTTTCTGAATTTAATTTATGTAGCTTTATATTCTTCATTGTCTTTCAAGTGAGTAATTTGTTCCGGAATAGTAAGAGCCCTAATTATTTAAGGGCGTTTCGCGCAATGTTGAATCTTGGCAGAAAAGAAAACGTTTATTGACGATTGAAAGCAAATTGGCTTAACAACTCGACGAAGTGTTCAATTTTTCTAAATTAGCTGAGCTTTTAGACATTTTTGCAGCGATGATCCTCGAATTGCTGTTTCTTTAAAAGTTTTTTATTTAGTTAAGAAGATAAGACACTTGGGCCTCAGGGCGTTTGATTCTTTTCATAGTTTCCCAACGCTTAAATTTTACTTGGGAATTCTATTTCTTTCTTTTTTTTGGACCTGAAATTTAGCACCATTTTTCGCTAATTCTCCGTAGACTTCGTTGGTTATATGAATATAAAAATCCAATGATGAGATTTGGTTTCATTTTACGAAAGTAATAATGAAACGTAAATTGTTTGGTGGGATCTGTGTTGGTTGAGATACAGAAAATGTCCCATACGACTTAAGGCGCAGAAAACTAACTGTTGTTGAATTATCATTAAACTTTTTTGGCATTTTCAGAAGGAGCTGGTCTAAGTATTTTATTAATACGTCCCATTTTTTCGTCTATATTCCCCTTGGGACCCTCGCTGTGCTACAAAACATAACTGTCGACCGAAAAGGAATGGATGAACTCTTAAAAGTGATCAAAAAACTAGATAATCTAATGCTAGATAACCTAATCCTTGGCTCCATTAAATATACTCTAATGACATCACGGGTTGTATTGTATCGTGTAGAGGAATGGAGGGGAGTGCAAACCAATAAGGGCGTATCAGTGGAATAACTAAATACCAAGAAGGAGGTCGATTGAAAAAAAAGAAACCCACACTCAAAGTAGAGATCTATGTTCGGGAATTTTCTAAGCCTAGCTCAATTAAGGGTGGCTTAATGTACGTTGAAAAAGTGGGTGTGTATATTTACAATTTTTAATATTTTCTTGGCAGTTAAACGCTCAAATAATTGCTGTAAGCCCGGAACCTCCACTTTTTTTCTTTTTTTTTCATTGAACCTTCGACATGTTGTTTGTGTTTACTGAAAATAAATTAGGTTACAGCCCTCCCAGGTATTTAAGATCTCGTATACAACCCTCTTATATGGATCAAGATATTTTTTTTCAGGAAAATCTTAAACTTTTTTCACGCTCAAATTTGATTTTTCGCGGTTTGAATTTTGTTTGTTCCCAAGTTCAGTTTAACTTCATTTACTAAAAGGAAAGTAAATTACGCTCTCAGTTATGAGTTTTCTCAGTCAAAAACATGGATTAATGCTTCGAAAGGGGAATTAAAATCAATTTTTTATTCACTTCATTTCTTTTACTGAAATGAAGGCAACTCAACTAACGAGCACTGTGAACACTAACGAAAATGTAAAGGTCGCAAAAACCTGATTGACTTCTACTTTTGAAAAGGTGTTTTAATTTCCAGATTTCTCAGCACAAAAAAACTTTGCCTATTGATCAAATTTTTTTTTAAATTGTATTGAGTTTACCAGAAAAGTTTCAATCAAAGAGCTTCAATGCCATTTATTTTTTGCTTTGAAAGTTGAAGTTTTTTTTTAATCAAGTCAGTTTTTTCTGGTTGCGTGCGTTCCTTGAATCTTTTCCAATTGTCTGTTCATTATATTTTCAAGTAGTGTTCAGGTCCTGCACAAATTGAGCGTCTAATTTTAGAGCAAATCAAATTTCACATGGAGTCTGAACCAAATGATTTCATACTTCGGAGTAAAATGACGTCCGTTTTCTCTCAATTAGCGCTATCTAATACCGCTTGAATTTTTATTTAAAAAAAACATTTTGGCCGTATTTTTTCCTCAGTATATTTTTCCGTATTTTTTCTCTTTAGGAATCTTTGGTATAGTGAAGGACAAATGCTTACGAACAATGGCGGGTGTCCTCTGCTTGTGCTACTTGGTATATCCTTCGTATATCTCTTTTTTAGTATATTTATCCCCTAAAAAGCCCCAATCGTACTTCTTTGGATACCTTAGTCAATCAAGGATGAGTATCTTGTACGGTTCTTTAATAGACGATATGCCCATTCTTAGCAAGACCTTTCAAGATATATAGTATTTTGCGGAGAAAAATGGCTTTACGCGCTAATACAACCTAAAACTTTAGTCAAAAATGATCTTCATAGTCCTTTGCTGGCGGTCAGAATAGCTTTTTATGAAAAAAAAAATCTAAATTGGTTATCTTGCAAGATATCTTCCCTCTTTCAAGATTCTTCCAAGATAATAACATGTTGCAAGTTAAACTCCATCTTGCAAGTTAAACTCATCTTCGGTGAAACACTATGGTTGGGGTGGTTATTGCTGTTATTTTTGGCGGGGTTTTGGGTACAACTCGATACAATGTACAGTTGAACCGCTTTTACTTGGTGATGAAGGGCATAGACCATCAAAGCAGTTTTTTATCGAGTTTGCTAATTACACTTGAATCAGCTTAGTGTATTATTACGAACCTTCTTTTTCTTCTAACATAAGTCGCAAATATTGGTGCCACTTTTGGGGCACCTCTACAGCTTTTTGATAGCATGTGCTTTGACATTCGAATAGTAATAAATTAACTTATTTGATGCATTTTTAATTATCAAGTGAACCGAAAAAAAGCTGTTTGTTTCAAACAACATAATAATAATAATAAAAAATCGACTACAGAAATTGTCTAACGCAACATATCTCGCAATTTTTGAAATACATAATTTATGCAAAATGTGGCCTTATTCTGTCCGATTTGTTATATGCAAAGTTATTGTGGATGCCTTCAGTTTGTTATATTCCAAATCAGGGGCGGATCTAGGATTTTCTTGAGGGGGTGGACTTTCGTCAGCCCTTTTTTTACGTCGACCAAATTGATTTTCTGACCTCTCCCAAAGCACTACAAAGACCCTGTTTTGGCCAAAATTTCTGCGCCGTAGGCAAAGTTTTGAAGAAACAGGCCAAAAAGGGCGTTTTTAGGCAATTTTTGGAAAATTTTAACTAAAAAATTGCGTTTTATCGGCGCGTGTTCCCCCCTCAAAATTAGTATATATTGGCGCCAAAGGGGGGACCCTTTGGGTCGGCAGGGGTCGAATCCCTGAGAAGGGGGGCGTCAGCCCCCCGCACCCCTAAATCCGCCCATGTTCCAAGTTATTACTTGCAAAGTTGTGTCTAATTGTATTTGGTGGCACTGTTGCTGAATTGCGTTGGCAATTTATTAGCATAGGTAGCTGATTTATTCGTGACTAGTGTTTGTTGGTGGCTAAGCGTGCGTGGCTGATTGGTTAATGCGTGAGACTCAAAATCTCTTGATTGCAGTAGGTCGCAGATCGAATCCTAGACCTAGACGAATTTTTAATTCGAGGCTTATTTTTTTTTATTATTGCACTTTCTAGAGCTGCCTTTTGTCGTGTTCTCTCTATTATTTGCGAAGCGCAGCTTCGCCTATGTGTTAAATTTTGTTTCAGCTTGCGAAATTGAAGTGCCATTATTTGGTCTAGTACTGATTTGTTTTTGTTTAGTTTTGGAGAAGACTAGGTGCAAAGTAGAATTCCAAAAACTCATATTTAATTTCTTAATTCAGAAATTTCTATTGGTATTTAAAGTGTTTTTTTTTGCAGATAGGAATGTTAGATAACAATTCGAATGTTTTGAACCAAAGTGTTCACTCTTCTGAGGCAAAATTACTTCTTAATCAACTCAAACAAGCAGTTTCGACCTCAGTTCAAATTCAAGGTTTTGACGAGCATTGTGATACAAGTTGGAACAAAAAACAATTCAGTTTGCATGATTTGCAGCAGACCCTCACGCGATCGCCTAATGCTCTCTTAGAAACGATAGGGCCTCAGGTTTTACATCCTCTTCTTTTCCTCTTAGACAAAAGACAGCAGTCGGCCTCTGAAAAAGACATGCTGGCTCTGCTCGAGTGTGTCGAACTAGTGGCGGTAAACTCAGTTTTTGAGACATCATTTCCAGCTCAGCGGCAGGTGTTAGTGTCATTAACGAGGGTCATGCAAACGAAAAAGTCTGACGAAATTTTAACAAAAAGTTTGCAGGTTTTCAGAGCTTGCTTTAGAAGTTGTTATGATACGCACGAGTTTTGTCTAAATTTTTATAAGTATGCGAACTTTCCTCTGCTAGCGATGGCAATGCAAACGTTTCTGCAGTTCTTAAGCGAAAATTCTTCTAGCAAGCATAGTTTTCAGCTGCAGGAAATGGCCATTACCTGCTTCGATTTATTAGTTACTGCTAAATTATTAACTCCCGGTTTAGTGAACGTGCGATCTCATATGCTTGCTTCACTTTTCCCAGGAATCGTTGCTGTGCTCATGAAAGCCATTTTGAGCACTAATGGCACTTTCAAATCGAGCATTTTGGCAGCACTGATCTCATCTTTGCGTTCATTTTTAATTGTGGTATTGGAACCAAGTGGCGCTGGTAATACATACCCTGATGCTGAAACAGCCAAATTAGAAAATATACCGCAGAATATTGCAGAAATGTTGACAACTCGCGATCTTAACTGGATCGACAAAGTAAACACGAACCTGGAAAAGTTTTTCAAGTCTGTCCAAAGTACTTTCATTGGGCATACGAGTGAAAAAGTACGATTTGCTGCTCTTCATTTTTGCCAAGATTTGATTCTAAATTGCGCATCAGCTTTGAGTGAAAATTGTGTTTATACATTAACATGGACGTTGCTCTGCTTCGAACGCGACTGTCATGACGAGGTGAAATCACTGGCTTTAATCGCTAAACACAGAATAGTAGATGAAAAAGAGGCACTGGTGATGAATGTCAACTTCCAGCTGAAATTTTTTGACGATTGTTTGAAGTTAAGTGACCAACTTGCTGGAACATTAACTAGAAACTCAGCTGAATCATTTTCAATCTTACTTGCCAAAATTATTGCCTGTATTTCAGTACTGGATACAAAGCGTTGTTTTGGGGTTTCGTCAAATTTAAACAGGATTCTATCGAATATCTGCAGCTGTTTTCGAATTGAATTTGACGCCATTCAGATATTGGAAACTTGTGAGGATAAGGCAGACGCGTGTTCTGACAGTGGAATCGCTACCATCTCCTCTATTTGGAGCGAGTGTGGTGATTTTCAGCTGGGAGTTGGTTTCAAAAACTTGACTAAGAAGCACTTAGACCTAATGCGACAACTGTGTTCAATGATTGTATCTACCTCAGAAAACATTTTCAGTTTAGCGTTAGATATCTGTTCCCCGCTGCAGAATGGCCAAGATGACCACCCAGCAGAAGTGACGCTGCAGAAGTTATGTATGTCCTCGTTTATTCTGGATTGTGGCCACGATCTTTTGGACGTGAGAGTGAAAAACCAAGTTAGTAGTAACTGCGAGTACCATCTATCCAGGGCTGCGGAATTACTCAACGCGAAATCATCGAAATTTACAATAGCTTACATGATCTTGTCTTTAAAAGTTGCCAAATCAAGTTGCTACAAAGTCGGCTGTTTTCTTGATTTGAAAGCTGTTTTATACAAAACTGCCATCTTTGCAACGCATAGTGTGGCAATTGTAGCGTCAGCTGCTATCGATACCCTCTTGGCCTTTTCGAATGTTTTCTGCACTAACGAGAAAAGTGTTGCAAAATTGATCGAAGCGAATTCGGATTATTTGTTCTCAGATTGCATAATCAAACTCAAACATGCAAGTCTTTACCCGGAAGTGATAAGTGTTTTATGTGTTATTTTCCAATTCGCAAATGACGAAGTTGTTCTCTTTGCCAAAGACATTTGTGTTGAATGTGAAAACTATCTGAGACTTTCAAGTCCGAATGAAATGCGAGGCAATAATTCAAACGTTGAAAGAATTTTTCTCTTGCTATCTAAAGTTTCGGGATATCTTGTTCGAAATTTTTCTTTGAGCCCTATCTATAAACCTGCAGATAGTAAACAAGAAAAAACTGCTCTATCTCAAAAATTGGTCAGTTTTCTGCGAGAAGTTGCCAACGAACGAAACGAAAGATCGCAAAGGTTCTGTGAGCCAATGGCTGAAGAGAATGTAGATGATTCCGTTGAGGAGGGGCTTGGCCAATCAGATTGCGACCCGTCTCCTTCGATAGCCGATCCAATTCAAGTGCAGATCGCCTACAAAATCATCCAGATGTGCATCGTGTATACTGCGACTTCTCATTTCAAAACAAAATTCTACTGCTTTAGCAGTGCCACAAACTGTTTCACCATCCTGGCCAGTGAAGAGGAACAAGCGAAGAGGAGTTCTCGCAGTGCCGGTGGCAATAACTGTCTACTACCCATGGTACACCAGTTTTGGAAGCCCACAGTCGCCCGTCTCAGGGACCCAAAAGCCACAATCAAATTGAAAGCGTTCAATCTTGTTGTTTTGTTCAGTGAGATATCGAAAGATTTCGTTCGTGCAAAAATTGCTCAAGATTGTGTTGCTTCAATATTAGACGGGCTAGAAATCTTGTTGTCAAATTTCTCAAAAGGTTCAAGGGGTTGCAGCATATCGACTTATGACAAGACTACAAATGATTACAAATTGCTGGAGGCGTTGATTCAGGGTGTTCCGAATTTGCTCTCAAGTTGCTTAATTGTACCCTGGGATCGAGCGACAACATTCAAATTGACTAAAACTGTGACTCAGAGTTTAACTGTTTTTGAAAAATTGGACAATGATATCTTCAGGTTGCTCTTAAATGCACAAAACAATTTGAGAGCGCAGGATGCTTGTTTAGTTAGTTTTGTGGAAAGTTCTGTTAAGGGCAATGTTATTGAATAAATTTCTTATCTCACTTGCTAAGTAATGCCCAGTTAGGCAAAAGCGAGTATGCATACTGGCTGTTCAGTGATGCAGCTTTGGGGTAGGAGGGAGGGCCCCTTTGGATTGTTAGGGCGGCGTTAAGCGAATCAACACTTATTTCACTTGTCAAATTGACTAACTTACTTGTTTGCTGAAAACTTCGAACAAGGTTAAGTAACAACGTAACATTATAATCTGATTGTAGCATCGAAAAAAATTGGTGTAAATTGTCATTTTTGACACGAAAGTTACTCAAAAAGAGCGAAAGGGAGTCCCTCAAGTGAAATTCGGCCGGTCAGAATACATTTATAGACAAAAACGCCCAAATTGCTACTAGCGGGATCAAATTACTCAGAGAGAGTAAAATACTGCAGTTTTCAAAGTATTTCAATGTCGTCCTTTTAAATTCAGCTGAAACAAATTCACAATTAAAATTATTTGAAAAGTATAGTTCCTAAAGGCAAAATGACAACATATGGTTTGAGTTGAATGAATCAAAATAAGTCGTCTGGCAATCTAAAAGATACCTATCTTCAAGATCCTTGAAAACAGAATTTAAATTTTTGAGATAGTGACGTTGATTTGTTTTTGATTAAGCTAGCTGCCGTAAACTAGTTAACGGTAAGTATTTGTCTCATTAAATTAATTGTTATAACTTGGAAGAAGACAGCGTCTCGAATCGGGTGAAAAACATGATTGTTGCAATTGTTCGTTTAATTTGTTAAAAGTATTCACGATAAAGTTTTGTAAAAATTTGGGGAAAAAACGTATCCATCGTCTCTTGTATAATTTCGCACTGTTTTCAGTTGTTTATCGATAAAATTTGGAAATGCAAATGTTTTAATTATTTCATCTGCTATTTCGAGGCGTTTATTTCTTGTTTAAATTTTTTTAGTCAAACAGCCCGGATGCCAAACTCGTAGTTTGATTATTTAGTTTGACGAGCGCATGTAACCAGCGCCCATTTAAGCTATGACTTATTTGCAAGAGCTCAACATCGCTACCACAATGATGTTTAGAATAAAAATTACATAACAATAAAGGCTGCTCGTGTCAAGGTGAAGCTCTTTTTTCCGACCATTTTCTCAGATGTTTCAAGAAAATTATGTTGAAAACACTTTTGGAAAAAATGAATATGATTGTTTTCCGCAATGATTACAAAAATATACAAGACTGCTCGTATCAGGGCGAAGCCCGGAATGTTCCGACTGCCTTTTAATGTTTAATGAAATGTAATAAAAATGAAAAAAAAAAATTGCAAAATTTGAAATTTTTTATGAAAATCATCCCCCCACATGCCATATAAAGTACAAAAGGATAGATTTCGCTCCTTGTAACAAATCAATTATGGCAAATAAGCTTCTTCCAACTAATTTGGAACGATTTCTAAGACGGATTAAATCTCCGCTTACGCGTTAATAGCGCGAATTATATCGCGCGTTAATTGTCCCAAATTGGTCAAAATGGCAATCTTTAAACCCTCATAACTTCACGAAAAATGATCACAGGTGAAATATCTTTTCAAATATAAGCTCAGGACAACAATAGCTTTCGAATGATAAAAAAAATTCCGTCAAAAATGGCTAGTTAAAAAAAAACCCACCCCGAGCACAAATATTCCGTTACTTTCGTATCGAAAGTCGGAACAACAAGTCGCATTAGTTAACCCAATATTTGGAGCAATTCACGTGCCTCTTTCATTTGGAATTCTTTCTGAGCAGGAATAATTCACCAAATTTGTTAGAGCGGTAATTATCTGAAATGGCTTGACTTTCGAACAATTTAGCTAGCACTAAAATTAACAAGACTGCTCGTATCAGGGCGAAGCCCTGAATGTTCCGACTGCCTTTTAAGTTTTATGGAGCAGCAGTAATAACATTAAAAAAATAAATGAAATAAAATAAAATGAAAAAAAAAAATTTCTAAAATTTGAAAATTTTAATGAAAATCATCCCCCCACACGCCATATAAAGTACAAAAAGAGAGATTTCGTTCCTTGTAACAAATCAATTATGGCAAATAAGCTTCGTTCAACCAATTTGGAACGATTTATAAGACGGATTAAATATCCTCTTACGCGTTAATAGCGCGAATTATATCGCGCGTTAATTGTCCCAAATTGGTCAAAATGGCAATCTTTAAACCCTCATAACTTTACGAAAAATAATCACAGGTGAAATATCTTTTCAAATTTGAGCTCAGGACAACAATACCTTTTGAATGATATAAAAAAATTCCGTCAAAAATGGCTAGTTAAAAAGTCGAAATTTGTCGGAGAAAAAAAAACCCACCCCGAGCACAAATATTCCGTCACTTTCGTATCGAAAGTCGGAACAATAACAGCTCTTGTTCAGTGTTAAGGATGAAATGATTTATCAATTATTTTGGTTCTGTGGTATTGAGCAGGAAAACGCGTTAATATTTATTCCCCCTCGATTTCGATTCCTGTTTGACTTCGATTATTCCCAAGTACAACTTAAAATTTGCAAAAAGGAAAATATATCACGCTCTCAATTATGAGTTTTCTCAATCAGAAACATGAAACGTTGGAAAGCGTTATTAACATCAAACAATTGTGCAAGTGTTTCTGAGAAAACAAATTTTGAAAGCAAATACGTTTCACGCATTCATAAATGCTCACGCGTCTTTTGGGAAACAGTTTTCGGAAGCATGCATGAAAACATTTTGATGTACAAGCATTTCTGAGAAATCAAGTTTTGAAAGGGAATTAATTTGACATACCTAAAAGATGTACCAGCGTTTTTGAGAAAACAAATTTTAAAAGCAAACACGTTTATGAAATCTAACATGATCTATAAACATTTCTGGAAAACAGGTTTTTTAGGCAAGCACAAACTTTGAGGACATCTAAAAAAATGTACAAGCTTTACTGAGAATAAAATTTTTGGAACCATATGAGTTTGAATCATAGTCTTTGCACAAAATTGGTTTAAAAGAAGTAAAAAAAGGTTTCTGAGAAAACAAGTATAGGTTGTAAATGCATTTAAATTATCAAAAAAATGTGCAAGCATATCTGAGAAAACAAATTTTAGTTGCAAACACCATTGAGTCATCAAGAAATGGTACAGGCATCTGTGAGACAACAAATATCGGAAGCAAATTCGGTTAAACCAACTTTAAAATTCACAAGCTAATAACATGTTTCGCTTTAAATGTTTTGAGGACTAAGAAGCATCCGAGAAAACATTTTTTTTTCAATCAGAAAAGTTTTAAAACGAACGAAAAGTTTTTAAGCAAGAACTTATAAAAGCTCTAACATGTACAAGCGTTTCTGGAGTTTTTTTCTTGAAAGCAATTACGTTTAAGCATCGAATAGATTTGAAAGAGTTTAAGATGTACAAGTGTTTCTGAGAAAACAAAATTTAATCTCAATAAAAATTGGAACATCTAACAAATTTACAAGTGTTTCTGAAAAAAAAAATCCGGATGCAGTTTTTTCAGGCAAATACATTTAAACATCTGAAATATCTATAGCATATGCTTTTTGTAAAGCAGGCAAATTTTTTTAAGAAATCTAAAAATGTACAATAGGTTCTGAAATAACAATTTTTGAAAGCAAACAAATTGGAAACATCTGAAAAATGATTAATCGTTTCCGAAAAAAAATTTGAAGTCCAAATTGTTTAAACTTGAAATACATCTACAAAAGTTTTTGACAAACATTTTTTGTCAGGCAAGCAACAAATACGTTTAAGACACCTACAGAATAAACAAGTGTTTCTGAGAAAAAAATTAGGAGCAAATATTTTAAATTATCTAAAAGGTACAAAAAACTTGCAAAGATGCAGTTTATTAGAGCAAACTCGCTTAGCACATCTAAAAGATGTACAAGCTTTTCCGAAAAAAAATCAGAAACAAATACACTTGAAACTTCTGAAAGCTGCTTAAGAGTTTCAGGGAACACAATTTTTGGAAATAGATACGTCGTTCAAAACTTCTGAAAGAGACACAACCGGTGCTCAGAAGTCAATTTACTGAAAAGAATTAAGTTCAATTATATACAAGATGTATAACCGTTTCTGAGAAAATAGGTTTCGACTGCAAATACAATTGAAACTTCTGAAAGACGTTCAAGAGTATCAGAAAATACAGTTTTTGGAAACAATTACGTTTAAAACATCTAAAAGATGTAAAACTGATTCTGAAAAAACAATTATTCTAACAAATATTCGCACATCAAAAAACACAAAAAACGTGCGTTAATAGAAAAAACATTAAGTAAAAAAAGTTTAAAATTTTTAAATACAGTAAAAAGAAAAAAGTTTTTGCCTTAAACAAACCTAAAAATTATTATAGTTCAGATTTCAAAAGAAAAATGAAAGAAAAATCTAATTTTGTTTTGAATTTACTTGTTTTGTAAAAATCCTAAAAAGTAATTTCAAAACTTTTTGTCAAAAAACAGAATTTTTTTCGATTGTAATTTGAATTTTGAAGTATAATGTATAATTTATTCTTATGAATTCTCCATAAACGCTCAATTTTCTTTTCGCTTTTAATGCGGACGGCATTTTCTGTGCCACATGCAATTGATCAATAAAAACAATTTTGCCTGCAAAGTGCAAAACGAAGGAGCAAAATCTGGTATTTTTGCTGAAGAAAATCAAATTTTCAGCTGAAAAGTTCGCTACTCTCCACACGCTAACTTTATAAGCTTTGAAATTTGAATAAAAATACCAAACCAGTTATCTCAATATTGCGAAAATTTTGAAAAAACTCTCCAATGTGGATCCAAACACTATTGGAAAGTGTATTATAGTGAGAAAATACTTCGTCACTATATCAACATTTAGGTTTTGTGAGATGTCAGATTTTGCTTGGAGAAGAAAAAAGGTACGAAGTGAAAACGCCCGAATACAGAGTGGACGCAATAATTATTTTGTCGGCTCATTAAAAAATAATTCAAATTATTGATTTATGAAGTTGGAGTTTATTTGCGCCCTAATCAAACAAAGAGAAAC